TGCACCACAAATTTATGAATTGAAATGAGACCTGTGTTTCTTGCATCAGGGGGATCTCTCAGTGCCCTTTTATTCACAAAACTCAAAGGTCTTAGGGACGAACTTGTAGTTCTATCACCGGTTCATGAATGTACCAAAGAAATACTCGTTGAACGGGAAAGAGACAAGCTCAATCAATTCCTATAGGGACTTCATGATACTTTCAACAATGTTCGCTCAAGCATACTTGCCTCAAATCCTCTTCCGAGTGTGAATCAAGCTTATGTTTTAGTTATTCAGGAAGAAAAGCATAGAAAAGCTCTTTCACTCCAGAAGCAACTGCTTTCAATGCCTCCTGTTCCTGTTCAACCATTGTGAAATTGAAACAATCAGAAATCAAAATACAAATGTGACCATTGCAAGAAGCAATGGTTACCCAGAAGGTTGGAAAAAAGGTAAGTCAAACAAGAACAAGATCACCCATCTTCAAGTAACTGCCAACTATGCACAGTATGATCCCATCACTAGTTCCTGATATCCTTCATGAGCAACATACCAAACTTCTGAGGATGTTTACCAACAATACCGCAACCTCCAGTACAACTAACATGGCTAGTAAGGATTCTTTTGCATGCTCAGTGTCTTGGATCTGGGATAGTGGAGCATCAAATCACATGACCTCCAATAAGGATTTGTTATTCCAGCCTGAACCCTTAATTCAACAACATATAATTCATCTATCCAATGGTTCTACTTTGTCAATTACTCATAAAGGATCTGTGATCTTGAAACCTAGTTACACAATTGTCAACTACTCATAATTCCAGTCTCTCACATTGTGATTAGTAAAGGAAAGTTACACAATGACATATACTACCTGCATCTACCCCACCACACATCTTTTCTTGTCTTGTCTTCTTGCACTTATATGGAGGATACCTTCTACGACACAATTGCCTTGGCCATGCCTTTGCTTAACAATTATTCGTTTGTCTTGATGGACATTTCTCATCTAAAATAAAGGATATGATGCTTGTGATGCATGTGAACGGGTGAAACATGCACCCATCCCCTTTCCAATAATCTCTACACAAGATTTATCACCTTTTGATCTCATATATTGCGACATATGGGGAACACAGGGGCGGAGCCAGGGGAACCATGGCCCCCCTATGGTTCAGAAAATCCCCATTGTAATAGAGTTTTTCATGTAAATTTTTCCTTCCCTCCATTTTTTATTTCAATGGTTGGCCCCCCATATGGGTCCAACCATACTTCATTTATGTTTTGACCCCCCTTATGACAATTTCTTGGCTCCGTCCCTGGGAGAACATATTTTGTTCTTTTGATCTTTGTCCCCAGGTTCTTTTTCAATGGATTTGGTTGGTAGTTTAATGAATCTGGTGAGAAAGAACTTGGTGCCAGGGATCAAAGGAACATAATATGCTCCCTATATGTCATAGTGTATGAGATCAAAAGGTGCTGAAACTTGTCTAGAGATTATTGGGAAGGGGACGCATGCATGCACCATGGCCCTTACCACTAATGAAGTTTTATGGTTACAACGTGTTCTCCGTGACCTTGGTCTACCTTGCTCTCAATCAGTCCATCTATTCTGTGATAGCCGGGTAGCAATTCACATTGCCACCAATCCGGTATTTCACGAAACGAAACGAGCATGTTCAATCAAAGGGTATAGAGCTTTGTCACATACCCACTAGCATGTTAACTAGAGCCCTAGGGGTTGATCAGTTCCATTTCCTTCTTGGCAAGTTGGGCATTACCCATGCTCTAACTTGAGGGTG